TCTCTTCCTCTCTGTTTTTCTTTCTTCCTCCCTCTTCCTTGCCTTCTTTCCTTCCTCCTAAAAGGGCCCACTGGCCACTCCAAGTTAGCTATAGGTATATGCCTCATTGTTGATCAGAAACAAGCCTGAGAGATCAAACTCCCAATGCCTACAGTGTATAATGATCATATTTTCAGGTTAAAAAGTCAGGACACATGGGTCTGATAACAGATTATTTGTAGGACAATGGAATAGAATATTTGCAATTAGAATTGCTGGGAAATCTAGATTAAAAAGGAATTGGCTATTATTCCTTTAAGAATTATGACTCTTCTCCCTCTTCATCTTTTTATTTATGTCCAAAAGTGTCTTTGGTTTGGGAATGCAGAACACCATGTGTCCCACTCAATGGAAAATCTGAGCAAGAACCAACTTATATTTGGTCCTGTAATTGAAATGCCCTGAGGATTGGGAAGCATTTTATTAGAAGTCACATCAACAGTGTCCCAAGGCTAAGTGCTATTTGGACACCTTGCTGGAGTAACCCAGTACTATCTCCTGGCTTTTGGGGATGATGGGATTGCAAGATGAAGAAGTTGTGACCATTGGGAAATTAGGGATTTTGGTGGGGGACATAAACCAGTTATAAACAAGAAATGAAGAATTTAAGCCTTGATACAGCCACTCCCAAATAGACTTTTCTTGATTTTTCTTTCTCTTATAGGTAGCTGTGTTTTATTTGATAATTTGATCAGTTCCTGCTGCTCAAAACACTTGTCCTTGGTTTTTGTGAGATTGCACCCCTGGGTATCCTAACTATGTGCTGAAAACTCCATTTTCATTTGTTTCTCTGGCTCCTCTTCTCTTCTTCACCTCCTATTATTGCTGTTTTCCTAGGTTTCTGGTCTTCTTTCTTAGCACTTTCTTCCAGGGCAAACTTCCTTGGTTTCCATAATTTCTTCTGGATCATTGGCTCTCAAACCTTTATAACTATCTCCCTTGCTCTCCCTTGAACTTCAAATCTACTTGCATGTCCTACTGGCCACCAGCATTCAGCACATTAGAGAAAACATCATGTTTTATGCCACTCCCAAACCAACATTTCCTCATTACTTATCCTTAAGCTTTAATGATCATACTTAGTATTGAACTCCCTCTACAAAATCAACTTTGATCTCCTTTTCCTAAAATGAGATTTAAAGCCTTCAAACAAGACTCCAGTCCACATTTCTAGCTGTCTTTCCATCTCAATCTTCCCAGCCTTTTCCAAACTTCACTACGTGTTTACCATCAAATTCCCCATACTCTTTACCTTTGAGACTTTAGTCTGCCTCACATGCCTTTTCTGTTTCCTTCTCTATCCATTACAATCCTACCTATTCCTTAAGGCCTACTTCAGTGCACCACAAAACTGTCTTAGAGCCCACACATGATCCTTCCTTCCTCTGAAGTCTTGCACTAGGCCAGAGTATACCAGGCACAGTACTAGACATTATACATCTAGCACTCAGTTCACTTTCTCTACAGTTCTGCCTGCAAGGCAGATATTATTATCCCCATTTTGCATATGAAGAAACTAAACTAAAGGTTGTATAGCTTGAAAGTTTTGTCTATGGCTTTTGTGATCGTGTACTCTTGGTATCCTTAATTACATGCTGACAGTTCCATTTTGGATTACTTATGTGGCCTCTCTTATATTCCTCACCTCCCTTTGTCACATCTACTTTCTAAAGTAGCAGAGCCCAGAACTAAAGCTAGGTTTGCTTGACTTTAACCACTTTGGCATACTGCTTGAAGGGCATTCACTGTTGGTATAGTGTTGGGTGAAAAATGGATAAGCAGAGAAAAGTCGTATTTATGAAAAATTGTAGAAAGTTAAAAGTCAATTCTATATACAAAGGGGAGATTTGAAACCAATTTCCAGCCCACATTTAGCTTGCTTTTAAAACATTTCAGAGAATAAGGGAGGAATATCCCCTTATTCCTGCTTGCATTTGTGACTAGAGAACACAGGAGCCCTATATAGCTACATCCCCTTCTAGATTGCCCTCTTTTCATTGTCTGCACACACATTTGTCAATTCTTGGTTCACTGTCTTGCAGCTCATGAATCATGTGGAAGTGTAGAATTATCTTCACTTACCAGATGAAGAAAGTGAGACTCAGAGGCAGTATAGTTTGTAAGAGGAAAAAGATGCTACAAAAATCAGACTGTGCCTGCATTTGAATTATGGCTTCAATACTTATTGGCTATATGGATTTGAGCAAATTATTTAATTTCTCTGAGCCTCGGTTTCCTCATCTGTAGGATAAGAATAACAATAGGGCTGCTGTGAGGATTAAATGAGTTGATGTGTATAAAGTGCTTATAATAGTGTCTGACATATAGTTAGTGCTCTGTATTAGCTAATATTATCATCTTTGCCATTTCCTTCTTTAGCAAGGCCTTAAATCCAGGTATCCTTTCTCTACCTTCTCTATCCATGGTGTTATGATGGGAAAATGGGAAGGAGGTTGGCGATCTAGTGACCTTAGGCAAGTCACTACTGCTATATTATACCTAATCTATAAAATGAGGTATTAAGGGTGATGATCTTTGAAGTGCTATCCAGTTTTGTCATTGACTCCAAGTAGGCCCTGACAACAGGCTTTCCAGTTGGTTTATGGCCACAGGGTCCTATCTAGGGATTGGTTTTGTCCAGGGTATAGCTGGACTTTATGACCTGAGGGCCCAGGCAGGCCAACTAGACTAAATGGGGACAAGAATGAGCCAACTGCTGCTGGGGAAAGCCAAGAATGGACTCCTTAAAAAGAAGACTGCACTGTGAAAAACATACAGGTAGCAGAATCAAGTAGACCTGGGCCTAGGGGAATTCAAACAACATCACAGTTAGAGTCTTGAGCTGAGTGTTGGTAATTGATGCCAAGGTACTCTTTTGACCCTTGATAAACAGTCAGTGATAAAACTTTAAACCCTTGTGGTGCTCTGAGTTGGGCTGTAGGTACTTGTTAAGCTCTAGTAACACCCTGTTGGTACCCATTTTTGGCAGGAGAGGGGAGACTTCTCTGTAAATACTTACTGAGGCCAGTGACCAGCAATTCTTTTCCTCCACTGCGGCCAGAACAAGAAGAAATTGACTTTTAGTGTAATTGTAAAAAAGCAAGTTTAAATGAAACTCCATTTAGAAGGGGTACCAGTGACTGAAAGTGGCTGTCCAAATCTCCTTCTTTGGGGTTCTTAAAGAATAGGAACCATCTGGTTTATGGTGTGAATGGAGTTCTGTGAGTTAATTATAGCTAATTAGTAAACATTGGTAGTATGCATGACAGATATTAGTGTATATGCAGTCAAAAGACTGAGCTCTATAATTTATTACATGTATGATTGGCCAAAGGACCAGTTCACCACTCTGAGACTCAGTTTCCTCATCTTTAAAATATGAGTAATAGTGAGACCCAGCTCATTCATAAGGATCAAGTGATGCAGTAGATGTGAAACACTTTGTAAACAGTAATTCATGAGGTACTTGAAAGGTGGTATTATAAAAGGTCCTATTTGAAATCTCTTTTGCATCCAAGCTGAGGAGCTCCCTCTATGCCTTCTATCAGAGGAACAATGGCTATAACCCAATGAAGGATTCCTTAGGCATAAGCTAACCAACAGAATGTCTTAACTAAGTCAAAAGATCAGTGTGTATATTTTTTCCTATGTGTGTCATGTGTTATGCATTAATATCATGACCATAGGGTTATTCTCTTGCTGGTATGTTGGAAGGCAGACCTATATGAGAGGATGCATGATCCATATTCTGTCTCTGTTGTCTGAATTATTTTGACTTTGGTCTTGTGGAGCCAATAATTACCTTGGTGTCCTTCATCAGAGTAGACTGATGGAAAAGATGACTTCTAGAGGACATGTTCAGCAATTCAGTTTTGGGAAGGGGATGTTTAAGTCCTTTGCCTGATGAGCCATATGTTCTCTATTCTTGAAATTGTTCCCCCAAATGCCAAGAAGATTGGTGACCTATACAGGCTGGAACCAGTTGTGGGAGAAAGGAGAACAAATAATACAGTGGTCAAGATGGTAGCCAGAGAGAAACAGCCTATTCCCCCATACCCATCCTCATCACTGTGCCTAGACAAGTGTCATGAACATGTGTGTGTGTGTTTATGTGGAAGTGGCATAGATGTCTGCCTGCTACTATGTGGAGCCAAGTCCTGCTGGCCATAAAGTCTAATGACTAAGGTACATAGCCCCTACCTTGCTGAGTGATCTGAGCTTACCCTTTAATCTCCTTGTGGCTCAGTTTTGACATCTAGCAAATGCAGAAGTCAACCTAGATTCCCTATATATCTCACAGGGTCATTGTATAAATCACTGAGTGAATCTGTGACAAGGTCGAGTTTCCTGGGAGCAAGGCATCACAGAATGCCAGATTCTTTCATACCCATGAACACATGAATTTTCTGGATAGCATCATGTGTGGTTGAGAACAGGAGGCTGCAGGACTGGGGTCCATTATATGTGAGGAATGCCATGGTCTGTAACTCATGAGGGTGAGGTACAGTAGAGTTAAATAATGTATCACCAACTCTCAATTGGACAGTTGAAGAGGAGGAAATGGGGAGAACAGAGAATTTAGAGCAAATATGCTCGAGCCTCATTTTAGCCATTGGTTTCAGACTCTCCACTCGTTCCAGATCCAGAGCTGCCTTGAAGCATCAAGGACAGATGGGCTGGAACTTTTTCTTCTCTAGGGGAGGAGCTCATGAGTAGGGATAAAAGTTTGAGTCCTGCATAGTCCATATACACATTCTGGGTCATTCTACCCACTGGCTAATGGAGAGTTGATAGTATTGTCTTGTGGTCCAGTAGAGCTTGCTCTCCCAGTGTTATCTCCATCACCCCCACCCTTCACCACTAATATGTGAGTTTTTCCATAAGTAGTAGACCTTCGGGGAGCGGGAGAAGTAAGGTAGCTAGATGTGTGGACTGAACACATTCTTATTTTGTCTCCTAAGCTGATCACTGGAGATTCCATCGTTAGTGCTGAGGCAGTATGGGATCACGTCACCATGGCCAACCGGGAGTTGGCATTTAAGGCTGGCGACGTCATCAAAGTCTTGGATGCTTCCAACAAGGATTGGTGGTGGGGCCAGATCGACGATGAGGAGGGATGGTTTCCTGCCAGCTTTGTGAGGGTGAGTGTCAGCTTTCACTCTCCTCTCCTTTCTCCTTGGCTACTTGCCCCTGGCTTCCCCCTCACCAGCCCCTTTTCTCCTTCTCATTCCCCTTCTTGTGGCTCCTCACATTTTTCCTCCATGTTTTGGTCTCCTACCCAGGACTTGGGCTTTCTTTAATCTTTGCCCTTCTAATTTTGAGATTTTTTTCCTGTTTTTATAACAATCCCCACCTCCTGCCTCCCACCTTCTACCCATTGTGACTTTGCACAAATCACTTCCCTTTTGGCCTTGATGATTTTGAAGACCTTTTCAACTATATTGCTGTGAAATTTTACCTTTCTTACCTCTCTTTTCTGCTTTCTTTCTTTTACTTGCCTCTTCTTTTTTTATCCTTTCTTTTTATAGCTCTCTTCCCACCCTCTTTCTCCCCTCCCCACTCCTCTCTGCTTCCTTTGCCTCTTTTCTCTCATTTAGGGAAGTGTGAACACCCCTGCGTGTTGTCTCATGATTGTCTGCAGCTGTTAATGTAAGAATCTGGGCTCCCTACCCTCTCAAGGGCTAGAGTTACTGACTGCAAATCTTGCTTTTTGCAAGGTGTTTGGGAACTAAGATGTGCCAAGGGTGGGAAGCAGGCAGCTTGATAAGGCTGCTAAGGCCTTGGCCCTTTTGACATTATACCACGAAGAACCTGGCCCTTAAAAGAAGGGGTCCTTGAGAAGGGGATCCTTAGCAGTTTCTGCTTCCTCTGTGTTACCCATTAACAGGATGCTAATGGGGGAAGAACACTGGCCTGGTGTTCCAGCTGTTGGCCTTCCTTGGTGTTATGAGCTACAATTAGCTGTTTGGCAGTCATGAGCTCTGATTTTCTCCATATGCAAAATGGTGTTGACAATTATTTCATGCTAGGGGATATCACAGTGAACAAAATAATATATATTAAAACAGATTTGTGGCAATACAAGTACCAAAGCCACATCAAGGTGTCTTATAGCCATCCTTACTATCACCTTTTGTTAGTTTCTTTTGTAAGATGAGGGTGAAGTCCTGACCTCAAACAAAAGATCAGAGTGGTTTGGGTCCTTGGAGAATGAAGGGCCTCAGGATAAGAAGGATAGAAGTGTGACATGAGAGAAGGGGCAGGGCATTTAGGATCAGATAATCCACGATGAAGATGCAATCTCATTTTTACTACCTCCTGCCTCTATGGTTTTTGGCAAGACCTGAGCCTTATTTCCTCTTCTGAAAAATAGGAATAGCAGAAATTTTATGATGATTAAATGAGATTACTGTGTGAGTAAAGTGTCTGGCACATAGTGGGTACTTAGCACATGGTAACTTGCTTTATCATCATTACCACCACCACCTTATCATTAATAGCTTCAAGAAGGTCTGTGTATCAAGGCTGACCATAGTGGTTGAAAGAAGGCTCCTTCCTAGGAGAGTTGCAAATGTAGGAAGCACTTTTATCTGGTTACAATAATTTAGGTGAGGGCACTGCTCAGAAGCAAAGAGGTAGACAAAATGGCCTCTCATCCCCTCTATACTGAGAATTTCTTAATGAAATATCCAGTCCTTTTCCCTCTAACATATATGGTGTCTTCCATCAGAGTCTCCACAGACCATGTGTCCCAACTCAGCTTTGTTGGTTGATGAATTGGTCCCAGGGGTAGTTAGAAAGCACACAACAATAACCATGGGCCTTTGTAACTAGCACGAGACCTTGTATACGGACAGCTTGTGTGCCTTGGGCTGACAGTCCCCTCTTTAAAAAAAAAAAAAGGATTAAATTGCACTCAGTAAAAATCACCCAAATCTGCATGTATTTCATTTTCAGTGAAATTTCATTTTTATAATAAGCTGTAATTCAAAGGGTGGCATAAAATACTGGGAAAAGCAGAAAAACTCTAGGAGACAAATAACAGAACCAAGCTTTAGAATATCAATGACCTGACATTGATGCTCATACGTCCAAGACCAAGAAGAGTGTTTCTCCAAGCACATAGCTTTGGTAGCCGCATGGGTGGGCTGAAGCTGACCTTTGAGGAGACCCCTGACTGGGCCAGACATGCATGGTATAGAGTCTAGCCTAGTGGTCCTCAATCTTGGCTGCACAGTGAAATAATTCACTTAGGTATCTTTAAAAGACACAAACACTAAAATCCCAGCTCTAGGCTGGTTAAATCAGAATCTTTGATATTGAGAATGATTTGACTTAGGCCAGTATAGTCCAATAGAAATATAATGTGAGCCACAAATGCAAGCTACAACTATAAAAGTTTCTATTAGCCATACTAAAACAAGTTAAGAAGATATCAGTGAAAGTTATTTAATGTATTTTAGTTAACCAAATATATTTAAAATATTATGGCATAATATTATATTATCACTATAAATTTTTAAATATTTTACTAAGTTTTTGAAATCTGATGTGTATTCTATACACATCTCAATTCACACTGGTCACATTTCAAGTGCCTATTAGCCATATGTGGCTAATTGCTACTGTATCAAATAGCACAAATCTAGACTGAGAACAATGACAGCAGACCAGGAGCATTAATGACAGAGCCTCAATCATAAGTTAGAACTCCAATATTCTATTATACCAGTGTTTTTTCTTTGAGAAACTAAGACATTGCCTCAGATTGTATTTGTAATGAGTTTTTGATCATTGCAAACCTTTTTAAGTGATAAGTAAATGGACTTCTGATCTCTAAAGGGGAATACAATGGAACTTTAGCAGCTAGCAGTTGTGGTGTCACCAGTAAAAGGAAATTGGGTTAAATGTTGCATGAATGATGTGAAAATTGATGCCAAGTTAGACCTTTCAGTTCTCATAAATGAGCATTTATGTATAGGTTTACATTCTGGTAAGATTGTGTTACTCAAGGAATTGAATGGCAGAGGTTATGTAGGCTCTTTTCTTGTTGTTGTTGTTTACTCACTCACTAAGTCGTGTCTGTCTCTTTTGCGACCCCATGGACTATAGCCTGGCAGTCTCCACTGTCCATAGTATTCCCCAAGCAAGAATACTAGAGTGGGTTGCCATTTCCCTCTCCAGGGGATCTTCCCAACCCAGAGATATAGCCCACATTTCCTGAACTGGCAGGTGGATTCCTTACTACTGAGCCACCAGGGAAGCACAGGCTCTTTTCTAGTAGGTATTTAAAAGTAGAATTACTAACAACATTCTTCTACATTGATTTTGGTTGAGGTTAGAATTGTACTGTGGAGGCAGTGCTAGCTATGTTAGAAAATGAGAGACCTGAGTTCTAATCTTGGCTTTTCCAAACATTTGACATATGATCATGGGTTTTTAGTTTCTCCTTCATCTCTGAAGTATTGTCTAGAATCTATTCAAGCTCTGACATGTCTAGGTATAGATAAGTAACACTCAACTATTGAATCTTCATTAGTACTGATATAGGTAGATGTTGATTTCCTGAGATGACGTACCTCTATGTTGTAGTATTGTTGTCTTGTTTATCCAGTCTCATCCTGAGCTGAGATTCAGTAACTCCTTAAGAATACTGTCCTTAGGATATTTGGCATATAACATAAAAGTATAATGGCAAAGAAAAGACTTTCCTCCTAACACTATACCAACTGGAAACCTTTGTGGATCATTGGAACAAATTGGTCACTGACATAGTGGAGTATTTCCATTTCCTACCTGGAAGTCTCATTGCTATGTGAATATCACCCCTAGGATGTTTAGTGCTATTCTATCCAAGGTAGACTTACCTGCTGTTAATTAGGTTTAAAACCAATGTGGAATAGAAAAAATAAATAAAACCAATGTGGAATCTGAGAAACCCATATTCTTGCCTCAGTTCCAAGTATGCACCTTGAACAGTTTTCTGTATATTTTTGAAGCCAAATTTTTCTCCTTGGAAAATGGGAATAATTAAGTCTTGTGAAAATCCTTTGTAACCTGAGGTATGCTGGATATCTGTAAATAGGAAGTGTGATACCATTTTGGGTGCTGTACAAGAAACTTCTGAGTTTATATGCCTTCTATCCAGTCAAATATCTGCCTCTCCTCTTATTCAGAATTTTAGTCTACATGTACATACATGTGTGTGTGTGTGTTCTCAATCTCTCTCATATCTCTGGGGATATGACTTCACAAGAGCAATGCAGTAGTTGATTTACTTTCTCAGCAGTTGGTCATTCATGTTCTGTCACTCAGTTGTGTCCAACTCTTTGCAATGCCATGGACTGTATCCCACCAGGATCGTCTGTCCATGGGTTTTCCCAGCAAGGATATCAGAGTGGGTTGCTATTTCCTCCTCCACAGTAATTGATCAGGTTAAGTGAATTAAAGCTTGCTGAACATCAATCCTCACACCTAAGTGCTGACATCTTCAGCTGCTTTTCTGAGCTGGTGTCCCCTCTGGGAGCTGAGAGCTGACTGCCAGGATATGATGTGTCTCTTAAGTAGAAAATCCCATTCCTGTGGTGGCACTCCTATCCCATTTGGGGCCCTAATTCCAACTCATTCCTATTTATTTTATCTCCATGTAAAAATTGGCCTTTGTTCTGACTTTGGGCCATGGTCTGGGATCAGCTTACTACCCACTTGAGGGCAGGCTCTGTACAGAATACATAACAACTTGCTATTATTGGTAGCTGAGGTCTGAGTGACAAGGCATGGGTTTGTTCAGAGTGTAAAGAGCCTACTCAGAAGCCATCAGCATATATTTTCCTTGTTTCTTAAAATTCTAGATCTCCCTGGTTTCTGGCCTTCTGGTAGAAGATGAAAGGATGAGCTAATCAGATCATTACCATCTTTCCTTAGGGTTGTGCAGATCAGATGTCACAGAAACTAAACCTCTCCTATTTATAGGAAAGCCCACTTCCCCAGAGTATTACTTGGCTTTGGATTATATAGTGTCTCTTTTTTCATTGCACTTGGGAAAACTTTTCACCTATATAAAACCCTAGACTCACAGTAGATTTAAAGCTCTAAAGACCCATTTTAGCCAGGAGTAGCTGATTTAGATGTTTACAGGGCC